CGATCCTTTGGTTGTTGATTCATTACCATAGTCTCTATTGATGTGCGTGGAATGGTTTCGCTTCTCTTTATCCGTTAATACCTTTTGCTAAACGGTAGTGTGGATTGATTCTATAAAATAAAGAATTTTTGAGTGTTAAAAAAAAAAGGGAGCATGTACGATGAGGTAACTATAATGTACGACGCTTTATTTAAAGTTTCGGAAGAACATGTCAACAATAGATATGCATTTGATTTTGAGAGGTTACGATTCTTTGACTAGTGACGTGCATACAATTTGCAAACACTTACCTCCCATGATTATTATTTTCCGTTATTAACTTAGATTTTTCCAAATTGGGATGTTTTTTTTTTCAGTATGTCTCTCCATTTTTCTTTTTGACTTTCCAAATGGAGATTTCAACATTTAGTTAACAAACTCAAACAAGCGTTCTACTTTACATCAATCCATGGATATTATGTGAGCCACTTCTCAAATGGACATTTAAAAACGGATATATTAACAACCACCAAAGTTTTGTTCAGGTCAAATTTCTAAAGAAAAATAAGTTATGGGACTATTTTTTTTTTGTTTTGGAAAGACTAGACAAAGATTAGTAGTGCTCGAATGATTCTTCCATGTCCTTTAAGGAGAAAGAACATTGACTTAATGAGTTATTCAAGTCCAATAACTTCGTCTTCCCAAAGCCTTCATGTTTACTCTAGACGTTGAAGTTTACACGTTGCAATTTGCACCAAGATTATAATAAGCCTGAAATTAGGAGTGAGTATAAACCACAAACCAAACCAAACTACACCAAGTTGAACCGATCAAAACAGAAGATTATGAGTGTAAGCCCCGGAATTAGGCAGATAAAATATGTTGGAAAGACAGAAAAGATATGTGCATGCATCACAACCTTCTATAATTGAACTAGTTGTTGACTTTGACTTTGTTTGCACTTCATTGTTTGGTATTTTTTGTTTTTCACATAAACTTAAGAAGAACTGAAACAGTGGCTCATATTTATATTATAACTGATGGTTTGGTTGTCACTTCAATCTTTGAAACCAGGACATGTCATCTACTAATACCACCAAGAATTTGGAAACTTTGTATAACATTTGTTCTACAATGGATGAGTTTCTGAAGATTACTTGTGTGGTTCACTCAATCTTTCAACAAGATTAATCCTGTTTATTTCACTCACTCTGTTCTGAAACAAAGTCTCCATTTCCTCTGTTTTTACTCATTCTCTGTTTGAGATAGAATTTATGTTTCTTCATTTTTTTTTTTATTCAGATCTATCGTAAAGAGTCTATGTGTCCTCTGTTTTACTCAGTATTCATGTCTTAATCATAGTCTTAAATTCCTCTGTTTTACTCCACTACTCTGATGTGAAGCAAAAATGCTACTGATTGTGACAAAGTGGTCATGACTCAAATCAGAAATATGTATGAATATAGTCAAAGTTATTGATTAGGGGAAAAAGACTTTGAACTTTTATTCACATTTTTTGAAAAAACTGTGAATAAAACTTTTATTCAAAAAAAACTTTTATTCACATTTGATAGTAACAGAAGTTCATAGTTCATTAAATAAAGTTACAAATATATCAGCAATACATGAATAGCAAATATGCGAGAGAATTTATCATGTGATCTACCGAGCCGTTGGGCTCACTTCAGTACCAAAGGTCAAGCTCACTTCAATAGAACTCTTTGAGTCCATGTCTCGACTCGCTCCTCCCCTTGAATTTTCAGATGCCAAACACTCGTTTAATTCAATAACGACTTGAGACATGGTCGGTCTTTTTGCCGAAGAAGGATTTAGACAACCCATTGCTAGTTCAACAGCTTTCCAAACAGAACCAGAATCATAATCTTCATTTAGAGTTGGATCCATAATGTTTTTGATGTCTCCTTTTGTAAGCATTACCCCAACCCATTCTCCTATATGTGGCTTTTCACGGTTTTGGTTTATCACAGGTTGGTTTGTGATGATCTCTAACAATACAATTCCGAAACTATAAACATCACTCTTCTCGGTCAACCAATTTGTTCTGTAGTATCTAGAAAATGAAATTGAGGACAAAATTCATCAAGTTTCGTTCTTACTAAAGAAGAAAAACTCTTAAGCAACAATACTTACTCGGGATCGAGATATCCAGGAGTTCCAGCAACAACTGTTGACACATGAGTTTCTCCTTCGATCGGGAATGATCTCGAAAGTCCGAAATCGGCAAGTTTGGCTTGAAAGTGTTCATTCAACAATATATTTGTTGTTTTGACGTCTCTATGAACCATTGGTGGTTTGCATCCATTATGCAAATACTCAAGTCCTATGCCACAAATATTAATTGTCACCAAGGTTAAAGTAAATGAAAGCAAATTATAACAAAAAAATAAACATAAGAAAAAATGATAGGAGTAATCTCTGAACCAACCTTGTGCAGATTCAAGGACTATTTTTAATCTTGTTCCCCAATTCAAGATAAAGCGATTACGTGTTCCTGTGTTTTAAAAGAAGAAATTTATGTCAAAGTCTTATGTGACTATCACATATAAAACTGAAGCAAAACAATAGATCATGTCAGTCTTTTTACCTGACATATGTTCCTTTAAATCTCCATTGGCCATGTATTCATAGATAAGAGCCAAGTTCTCTCCTTCGTCGCAATAGCCAACAAGACCGACCAAGTTTTTGTGATGAACTCTAAGAAGAAGTTCCACCTGAACAACATGCCATTATTCACAAAATTTGATCGTAAAAATAGGTGATGTTTTTGTTTGGAATAATTATGAAGGTGAAAATTTACCTCGGCTTTGAATTGTTTGTATCCTTGAGATGATGAATGTGAGAGCATCTTAACAGCTACTTGTTCGGTACCGTTCACAAAACCATGATAAACGATTCCAAACCCTCCTTTCCCAAGAACTCTTTGGAAATTATTTGTCATTGTCACAACTTCTGAATAAGTAAACCTTCTATTCTTCGTCAATATTGCCGGTTCAGATGACCTAGGTGATCTACCATCTGATGCTTGCATATATGATGTTGGTGGCACTAAAATTACAAGGCAAACAAACAAAAATATTAGTTATACTTTAGTTAAGTTTGATGTGTATGTATGTTGTGATATCACTCTTGAGCTTATTTAAAAATACCTTCAACTTTTGATGGCTTTTTCTTTCGGAGAATGAAAAACAGAGCCAGTGCACCTATAAGAACAGCTATTGAAGCAATTGATGCGATAATCGGCACTATTATACTCTTTTTCTTATGTCCACCATCTCCTTTGTTAACACATGAATCAGCTGTGCAAAGAAGATGAGGGTTTCCTTCCACACTACGAAATGTTGAGTGTTGTTCAAGATACTAGATACATCAATTGGCGTGATTAAAATCGAAAAGAAAAGAAAAAATAGTTTACTTTAGCTTCATTCCTTTCTTCTGAATAAGCGAGGGAGGAACCGAACCAGTGAAATTATTACCACTTAAGTCTCTGTTGGATTAATAGATAAAGTTTCAAAAACATAAGCAATATGTTTAGGAGAAAGCTTAAAAATTGTAGTGTCTCATGAAAACTTACAAGACCAAGAGTGATTTTATGTCAGCTAAAAATTCAGGTATTTCTCCAGTCAAATTGTTATTTGACAAGTCCCTACCATTAGCAAAGGAGAAAGAATCCATCAAATATAATTAATTTCCAAATGCAAAACAAATCTTAGGCTTGGTCAGGTAAACTTACAATTTTTGCAGGTGAGTAAGATTTTGAATGGCTTGTGTGATGATCCCAGTTAATCCACTTGCAGATAAGTCTCTGAAGACATGAAGTGTGAGATGTGTAGTTTGAAATTGACATGATTTTATAATATAAACTATTGAATGATTCGTCTTACAAGGAAGTGATTATTGGTGGTGTAGAAATATCCGAGTTGTTGCAGTTTAAACCGTCCCACAAAAACTGTTTAGGGACACAAGGATCTCCTTGCCAACTGATTCTACTCAATCCATAAGTACTTTGAACATTCTTGATACCAGAAACTGTGATTGTAAAGCTTAATGATCTAAACATAAAACTCAAAGACTTGTATATAAAGATCAGGAATGTAAAAGAATGGACATACCTTCATCTCCATTTGTTTCCAATTGAGAGAAATCAATCACGGTAAAAGCCTCGATAGCATTTAGTAGAGGCGGAAGAGTTGATCTTGGCGTTTTAACAAGCTGCAAAATGCATGCTCCTCCATCACATTGCTCTGGTTGTAAGTCGAGTACTGTTTCAGTTTTTAGCGGTTTCGGACTATAAGGTCCATATGAATATTTTCCATTTAGTGTCACATTGAATTCCCTTGTATCGTTGGCCCGTAGAGTCTGAAGCTCTGCAAAGTGCATGTAGGAGTAAAACTGTGTATTAGGAGGCTCCATGGTCCATGTAATGTTCAATGTTTCGTTAGCGTTTAGTGGTGTTGCCCCCGTTGCCATTACACCTTCTGGTAGTTCATAACCATTCGTAGCATTTACATTTAGAGTCGTAGTTACTTGTGTCCATGACTTGTCCACGAAAAATGAATACCATTTACGATCATAGATATCATCAGGATACCTGCCACAATAATAAAGACCACATTACTAAAAAAATTATGGAGAAAGAAAAAAAATTATCATTCATACC